TTTTTTATTATAAATTTATGTTAAAATATAAAAATTAATTTTTAATTTATTAATTATATAATTAAATTTATCTACTTGATATTAATATAAAAATTATAAGAACACGAAACGTCCATTCCTGAGTTTAATTAAATTTTATACCCACCTCTTCTTTATCTAGCACATCACTGTGTGTATTCCTCAACCTTCTCTTGATTTTCCTGCAATCAAATTGAAATCCGTATTAAGTTCTGGCCTCCGGGAGATTGTATAATCTAAATTTAACATGATTTTATTGATGGTGAATATAATTAATTACTTTTAATTCTTTAAAAAACTTTGTATTTATAATAAATCCAACATAATGTGCATACGATCCAAGTCATTTAATAGAAAATAAAAAGGAAAAATAAAACGGTAGAACAATCTAAGCGATTTTGACATTACAAGAATGCTTTTTTACAGAGCAGGAAAAATGTGAAAGTCCAGAACATATTCAGGGGGAAAAAGAAAAAACAGAAAAGAAAAAGGAAATACTTTAGTAACCAACCATGGCGGGGCAGTTCTTGTTCATGAAGTAACCACTTAAACGCAACAACAACTCTCCATATGAGCTACTAGCTCATATGTGCTGGTTCCGCGTCCCTCTATGGTCACTGTAACACACATAAAAACAGAGTTGTTAATAGTCTGCTTAAAAAAATGGTAAAATGATCGTTTTACTTTCTTAAATTCAAGGAATGGGTATAGGAATCCATTTTAGTAATTGTATTAGGAGCATAAATTGTGTCCAACAGTAATGGTTTGGCCTCGAGTTCATCCTTCCTCATCCCCTGTTTCGTCCATGGTTTAGGCGGTATGGCTTGTTTAATCAAATTGTTCTGTCTGTCCTCTTTTAACTCAGCCAGTTTAGTTAGTCAATTTTCTGGGGCGTCAATTATCTTTTTTTCTTTTTTGGTGGGTTAATTTAAGTGAAAATTAGATTATAAGAAAAAAAAAATTGGGGGTGGGAATTGAGACCAACCGAAGCATCTGAGGGAGGGCGGTGGCAGTGAGGAAATCATGATTTTATCTTGCTTTTAGAATTTGAAACATGAGAGTAAGGCGGACACAGGAAATGGCACTCTGCTGCGTGATGAGTTTAGTCTCCTGGT